ATTAAAGGAATTAGTTGTAATGGGGAACTAGGTACTAGTGAATAAAACAGTTTATCTTCAAAAGTAAATACATATTCAATATCTTATAGCAATTAACTTGAGTAACTTCCAATTTAAACTGCCGCCATTTGTGCTTGAAGATTTTTTGAAATTTCGTGACCTAATTTGCATAAAAAATATGTGATAAAAAGTATAACTTTTCGAGAAATCTCCTGTTTCACACAATTTAGAACTTTACAATAAATACTTACGAATATAGACCACCCCCTCAGTTTTCAACGAAAGCATTCGACCCATGTCCTAATTTACTTGAGACCTTTTATGAATGTAAGATATTCAGTTTTCAATAGTCAGACTTACAATAAGACGCAGGGTTTGTGATCACTTATAATATATGTTACAGTGGTAGACTTACAATAAGACGCAGGGTTTGTGTATTTGCTAATGTTCTATACTTAAATCAGATGAGATCAACCATTGATCGCCCTTATTGTTTTGATTTCCCGACTAAATTAAATAAGTATTCACTGACAGGTACTGATTCTGGTAATACATGTTTAGGGCTGGGTGACTGAAATCAGGAAGGGCAAAGAATGTCAGTGACTTTAGTTGATCACTCCATGAAGAAACCTTATACAGCGAAAATACCATGAGACCGATATCTCAAACATCCAACAAGAGAGATCATTCTCTCTTGCATTTAGCTATGTCAGCTATTCATTATCTAGTCAGTAGCCGATATGGGACGAAGTCTCAAACGTTCTTTAAGTTTCAACCAAATTGTAAAGTTCTTTTATTTGGGAAATTTCTAATCAGAAAATGTGAAACTTTTTCTGTCTTACCTTCTTCTCGCTTAATTACTTTTTGTAGTTCACGTAGTAAGTAACTATTAGTAAGCGATTTTATAGTGATAATTTTTCTATTATTTAATTCTTTTGTATGCAACACCATCTTTGTAAAATGGGACTGCGAACGAATAAACATTGTTGTTGTTAATAGTAGGAGAGTTTTTGAGTTTCACTCATCAGTTAGTATCTTAACTTGCAGAGTACAAAAGGGTGGGTTCGATTAAAAATTGAAAAAGATTTAAGCCTAAAAGCGGAGCTCTGTATGTACTCTTAGAGGGGCCGGGTTGTTCAAAACGGACGCACGGGGCTGGGGAGAGAGGAGGATGTAGATGTTGTTCATGGTATTCATTTCCCTTTTCATTTCCTGCCACCACTCCTTTTCTCAGATCATGCGCCTTCTATTTTCGCTTGGCTTGTTTTCGGGACGTCCCTATCATTTGAGAGCTTGGCAGAGGTTAACAACTTTTAGGCTGCCATCGCGAAGATATGTCCCCATGCACAGTTTACTTACAAAGACCAAGCTCAGTAAAATAAGGGCGATCAACGTCGTCTAGACATTTTTCCGGCTCTGATGGTTGTCCTATGTATCACAGAGTCAGGGGAAAAGAACAGGTTCGTAAGACTGGCGCTACGAGGTCTATAAACATTTTATACAGCAAAGACAAAAGCGACTTGAAGTTTTTACGGGGTCTCCTAGTAGTGCTACAGTCCCGCTACAGTCAAGCCAGTTTGGCACAGCTGCAGTAGCACGACATTTGAAACAGGACAAAGAAGATAAAACAAAAAGATGTTTTTGGAATAGTTACACAGGGGGCATAAGGAAAACCGATCATGATAGCAGACCGGTTAAAAAAAGACGCCGTGACAAAATGAATAATGTTATATCAGAACTCATTGAATAATGTTATGTGTACCGAAAGTGGAAATGATTCTCGCAGTTGAATAAACAACCTAAGCGGTTAAAAAAGGACCTGGAAAAATCCAGGTTTGACGACCCGACATCGAACGCTGACCTTTGCGATGACCGTGCGAAACGCTCTATCCGTGAAACCGAATCAAGCCAATTTCAATGTCTTTATCTGCAGTTCAAAATATGAGTCATTTCATGTCATTTTCACCAACGGCAGCCTCGTTCCCAGTCGTCCCCCGCGATTTCAGATGTGACGTCACCTGTCAATTCGCCTTCTCTGCCGTGAACTCAGATAGCGCGAACTGGCCTGGGTACGAGGCTACACCAACGGGTACTGTACGAACTCACAATGGCCCGCTCTCCAGTTGGCTGGATAGAGCTTTGCTCCCGGTAATCGCAAAGATCAGGGTTCGATTTATGGCCGTTTTATGGGTTTTTATGTAAACGGTTTTCTCTCTATATAGGGAGAAACCGTTCACATAAAACGGCCATTAATCTGCCCGTGGACCACACAGGAGAGACGTAACACACATTTTAAGTAAGGTAAGCTGTTTTTTATTGAAATCCTTTCATTTTCGTAGGTTAGAGAAACCATAGGTTTTTCTTCCCATACAAATCCTTATATTTTGAATGTTACGCAACAATGCCGATGCTCGCCGATGCTCATATTTCGAGCTTGGGCTACCTCTGCTATCATAGCATTGAAGCACATGGATCTTTCACAATACCTGCAATTTTCTCTGTAGTACAATCTTTTACAACGTCATCTTGAAACCAAACTTGATCGGCGACGAACACAGGAAATTGTAGTGAAACTACTACTGCCGTTAACGATAGCAATAATTTTACGCGGCAAAGAGCAAACGATGAAATAAGCATTGATAAGTACTTAATATTCAAGCGAAGTCGGTAAATTCGGCAACATAACCTTCAGCGAATATGTTATTAAGAGGGATTTACGTTCTAACAACGTGATGTAGGTTTTGGATATAGTCTTTAATCGATTTTCCGGCGATTTCTATTACAATAAAAAACAAATTTCCTGTTTGCTAAGCAATCGCCAAGCATTTTGAAATAATGTCATTGTAACTGAAAAGTGTTCATTCGTTACTCTTATTGTTTATCTTGTTTTACGTTCTGGTGTTCAACTGGACGAACATACTAAGCGCAATATCATAAATTATTTGTGTTCGACCCAAGTCATAAGATAACGAATTCGCGCGCGAAGCCGCAGCTCATAAGAAATATGTGGCGCAAGATGAGCGATCGCGCGTGATAAGAGGACACGCGCGCGTTCCTCTCCCTCGAAGCGAGCTCCGACAACAACGGCCACGGCAACGGCAGCGAAAACGTTCCCCAAAAAGTGAATTCGCGCTGCCTCAAAATTGATCGCTCTTACTCTAACTCTTTTATTTTGTCAAATGTTTGCGATTTTTTCAGGAGTTGAATTGTAAAGGACTGTATCTAAGTTCACAAAACGAAAAAGAAAATAGTTGTCGTGTGTCAACGTCCTCCATAAAACATGAAATTAGGAAGTTTTAAGTCGATGTTACATGGGACGATTCGCAACAACGAGTTTTAGCGCAACACATCGTTGCAACATTAATATTGTTACGACATTGTTTCAAATGGTTGCAACACTGTCCAACATTGCAACGCTGTGCTGCGCTAAAAATCGTCGTTGCGAATCGTTCCGTGTAACATCACCTTTAAAGTAATGTTACACGCGGGATTTCATTTTCAGCGCAACACAGCGTTGTAATGTTGGTACAAGGTTGCAACCATTCGAAACAATGTCGCAACAATGGATCCGCCCCAGGCCCTACCAGCTGAACTGCAAGTGCCCACCATAAACCATTATTCCCTGTGGTCGCTCGTGTAGAAAATTTAGTGTCATTTTGAGGACTGTCACAGAAATTTAAGGACTTTTCTAGGAACGTGGAATTCAAGGACTTTTCAAGGACTTTCCCTAAAATTCAAGGACTTTTCAAGACTATGCGAACCCTGTTCGTTATGGGTTCGAATTCACACTACCATTCTTTAGATTATGACATTGGAATAGTTCCTTTGGATCCAAAAAATTAACGGGAAATGTAAAAACGCGGAACCCTCGTCCAGTCTATCAATTTCCTGTTAAACAACTAGCCCTGGGGTATTCTTTAAAACAAAGGGAATTTGTCTTCTTGTTCCTCAAAAATCAATATCGTCATAGGTAACCGGATCGGAGGCCATTCTTGCAGCTGAAAATACCTCACTTTCTTTTTCCACTGGCTGCGTGTCATAAAAATTAGCCGACAACGCAGACCTACGACCCTTTTGCCACCGTTTATGAAACTTGCAGTTTTGACTTTTTGTGTTCTGAGGTTTCCTTCCCTGATCAGCGATATCACTAGACTGTTGTGCCGCATGTTCTGGTTTTGGTTTTCTAGGTGTAGATCCCCCTGCTTTTCCTTTATATTTCTTTTTCCCTTTCTTCTTGTTCATCTTGGATTTCTTTGCCTTCGCCTCCTGTTCTTTTTGCGCCATTAGCGCCAGATCTTTCTCCAGAACGGCTGGAAACGTGCAGGGAACTCTTTTTTTCCTTATCTGCCACGGCAAAAACAGATTACAATCGATCGGGACCCAAGGAATGGTAGCTTCTGAGAAGTTAGTCATAACTGGCGTTTTCAAAGTGTGGACTTCAAACGAAGACCTCGAACTAGATTTCGAAAACCCAAAACTCTTGTACAAACAGCTATGAAGTTCTCCGGACTTGTGAGACAGTATGAACTTGGACTCAGGAAGTCGCATGAGAGCTTGAAAAATTTGAAACACCATTTTCATCCCTTGAGCCGGGTTAAAATCCGTTCCTTGCTGTAAAACATCGTTCAGAGACAGCTCGTCAGCTCGTAATAACGCTGAGTTAAATACGTTGATTCTTCCACATAAGATCTTCGTCTGAGGACGAGTGTATCCGTGAAGCCATAACCGCGCCGTCTCACTACGTGTAAGCTTTTCATGTCCAAATGAAGGTATTCAAGTTTAGGAAGCACGTTGAAGAAAGTAAAGGAGTTCTGTTTGTCAGGATCTGCTTTATAAGCATCTACACTGCAGCGAATCAAAATCTTAAGCTTCCCAAATCTCCACAGATTGTAAACGAAGTACCTTCTTGTTTCGTCTGTAATGGACGAATCTATCTCCCTTTCACAAGGGTTAATTTCTGGACTTGACGACGATTTAGCTATTTTGGGTTTCTTCAGTTCCTAGAGCTCGTTTTCTTCTTCCACCGCTTGGCGCTTTCTGGTTTTGTGCTCTGAAAGAGCCACAGCAGTGACGTTTTTGTCCTCTTCAGTTTTGTCTGTTTTTAAGCCGGCATTTCCATCCTGACCATTATTCTCTGTTGTGTTTTGCGGACCGGTTTTTGCGCAAAGCATTTTTCGCAAAACACACTTGAAGTACTTCCAGTTAACTAAGCGAGGATCAATGTTTTGCGGTGGAAGAGACTTGTCGATGAAAACTACTTTCTGCTTACAGGATTGACCTTGTATTCCTAGAGCAAAGAAAGAAAGCAAGGAACAACTCAAATACTGTTGGTTCAAAAGAATTGTCTTAACTCCAAGACTGAAAGCGTGATTCAGCCTCTTGTGGAACCACCTGCAGGGCCAAGGCAGCGCTACGAAAAAACTATTTAAGTGTTCTATGGGATTTTATTGTAGCTCAAGGTTCATGGTCAGTATTATGAAGCTATTACAATTCCCACGTCATGGCCAATATCTTGTACACACTGACAGCCACTATAAACGAGCAGTAATAGTAGTTTTGTCCTTGCGAAGACTAACCTACCCTGGGTGCCACAGACTTTTAACGCGCAGTTTCCGGTTTCGGTAAGTTTTTGTAGTGACTCTTGCGGGTTCGGCGCCTGTGGCATCGGCCTCCGGCCCACAACCCGCCGCATGCAAGAAAGAACCCTTTCGTATCCCGTCTCGTATCCACGGAAGGGCTTATCGTGTTCTTGCTTCGATTTCTGCAGATATACAGTTAAACGACCCCATATTAAGCGGACAAATAGCTCAGCATATTTGAAACGTTTCTTCCCATATTTTAAGAAAAACAAACCTGTATTTGGCGGACAGCTCTATTAACCTTTTAAGCCTCAATAGTGACCAACACCAACTTTCTCAGCACTAACAATATCAATACATAATCAAGGTAAAAGGTTATGAGAATTCATGAAATGATCACAAAAGGGAAAACGTTGTGATCTTTTATCAATTTCTCTCAACTAATTTTAAGGGAAATGTATGAAGATCGGTCTGGAGAATTTGTTTGTTGATATTGGAGCTTAGAGGGTTAAGCGGACATCAGCAAAGAATATAATGATCCCGCGGCTGTTCGCTTAACACAAGTTTCAGTGTACATGTACTTTCTGTGAGAGGTTTGAACCCTGGAGTCATTTCATAAGTAGGTTGAAATGAAAGCTACTGAGCAGTATTTTCCTGTGGTACTGTTTATTATGTTGTAACTCTTAAGTCTGTTCATGAAATCCTGTTGTGTCCATACATTACCTTGCTTGTTTCTGTAGTAGGTGTTTTTAATGTCTGTTTTAAACCAGATGTGACTTCAGAAAGCAATAACCCGGTACTTGCAGGAAGAGATAGCAATGGTACATTCCCCTATGTTAGAAAAAAAACAGGAAAAGAAATAGAAAGAAAAATATAAATAATTTAGGGAACACTGCATATAAAAGACCATCTATTTAGACATAAGCTTTGTTTTAGATTATTGTATTTGTAAAAATCATTTTTCTGTGAGGTACAAATTACAAGAACTGTATGAATGCATGTAAGCAATCCATTTCCAGTTGTAACATTTCTTGATGATGACTGTAATAAATTATTATTTATTTTAATTGAAAACTCACCACTTGCTCTAAAGTTTGCTCAAAAGTCAACACTGCATCAGATTTAAATACAGCTCCCTCAGCCAAACCAATGGTTTCCTGTAGAGAATACTGTTGCTACAAATAGAAATACACCAGCCAATAAAATTAGTATAGATATATATACTGGAAGAGCTGTGCTCTAGCAGTACCTGGTGGCCCCTAGTGATTTGCTTTCCAGTTGTCTCTTGTGCGATGGGGAAATCTTTGTTTATTCATAGACATAATATGCTGGGCACCCTGGATTTTACAGGTTCAGAGTACTGGGCTCCCTTCAATTTTTCTTTCTTGACTGGGTACAGAAGAACCTCGGTTATCTGGACCTTGATCTCCCGGACTTGTTTTACTGATCCCGATTTTTTTTCATGAATATTAATAAGATGTGATCTTCAAAAATTGAAATGATTAAAAGTTCATTAATCCTTCCAAAGGTGTATTTAAGACACTGTTTTAATCTGTTTTGAACATGAACACTTTATTTGTAAATACATACTACATACAGACTGTACATAAATGCAAGTAAGAGCTAATTCACAATTAAATTTTGTTTTCTTTATTCCCTACGTTTGCATTATTGTCTCATTAATATTCGTATTTTAGATTATCCAGACTATTTACTCAAGTTCCAACCATTCTGGATAATCGAGGTTCGATTGGTACTGTGATTAAAACATTTACCAATTTTGACTTGAAGCAGAGAAAAGCAGATTCAACATTATTACATGTGATGTAGTACATTTCAGCTGTAAATTGGTTTCTATCAATTATTTCAGATAACTGATGACTTGTTGAAATAAAGTGAAACAATAAGCAGAAAAACTCACAGGGTAATGAGCATTGACCTCCATCAATTTTTCTTCAGTTTTTGCCTAAAAGCACAATAAATAAATTGTTTAATGTGGTAGCTACATTGTTACCAAACAGGGGTCCGTTTTTTGAAAGGCCTCGTAACTTTCGGGCCCGAAGGCAAATTTTAAAATCAACACCTGTTGAATAGTAGCAAAGTTCCTAGCTAACAAACTGGTCAATTTTGCTTCATTAACTGGTAGTTTCATTGTAACATTTTCAAAATTACTGAAACTTTGATCTTGAATGCAAACTTGGGAAAGATAAAATAGATTTTTGGGCCTGAAAAGTTACCAGGACGTTTGAGAAACCCTGAGGCCCCAGGATTGAAAATATCAAACATGCAGACGTTAATTTCCATTAAGGTGGCTCGATATAGTTTTTCAAGGTCAATACCTCCCAAGTTTGAGCGTAAACTGCGTCGCCATAAACAAGGATTTGGAAAAATTGACACCATAGTTGTATTAGATAAAGAAGAAAATTGGTTATAATCAGGGTTGCAATGACATCGGAGTTGTCATAGCAACGAAATGACGCCATTACCTATTTTACTTGCAGCAGTATTTCTCGGCACTGGGAACTGTTCCTCCAAAATCGTTTACTGGAGCTTTTACCTACGATAGTTGCCGCGATGTTCGTGAAGTTTAAGCGAAATCTGTAAGAGCGTTATCGAGATATTCTGGGATGAAGTTTTTCTGGTTAGAAATACGGTAAAAAATTGACAATCTTGATGTTGGACAGTTATCTGTACTAAACGAAGCGCTTTTGACATGCAATTTCACCTCATAGTAGTTTCAATCTTTTTAAAAACGTGGGTGAAAGATCATGGAGATACCTCCAGCCGATTGCTAGAAAGGAGGATTTGATTAGTATGTATCAAGGCGCTCTTGTTAGCGGTAATGTAAACATTTCAGTCTACTTTAACAAAGTAGCGAATAATTTTTAAACCGCTTGATAAATTCTTTAGAAAATTTAAGAGTCTTGAGATTAACCCTCCTTTTATATGACCTCTTAGTTTCAAGATTATTGATATATTGTAAGGCAGTAAAATAAGGGCTTGAATTCGCTAACATTTTGTCAGAAATTTTGTGTTTACAAGTGAAAGCCTCTCATTATTCAGGGCTGTTGTCTCCAAGTTTCATATTTTCGTGCACAACAATAGCTAGCAGTTTTGCATATGTCAAATGCATTGTTAGTTACTGCTGTTCACGTGAAAATGAAACTTTGAGACAATACCCCTGAATAATAAGAGGCTCTCACTTGTAAAGACAAAATTTCTGACAAAATATTAGCGAATTGTAGCCCTTATTTTACTACCTTACAATATATCAATAATCTTGAAACTAAGAGGTCAAATAAAAGGACGGTTTATCTCAACACTTGTAAATTTTTTAGAAAATTTATCGAGCGGTTTAAAAATTATTCACTAATTTGTTAAAGTAGACCGAAATGTTTACATTACAGCTAACAAGAGCGCCCCGATACGTACTAATCAAATCCTTCTTTCTAGCAATCCGCTGAAGGTATCTCCATGATCTTTCACCCACGTTTTTAAAAAGATTGAAACTACTACGAGGTGAAATTGCATGTCAAAAGCGCTTCGTTTAGTACAGATAACAGTCCAACATCAAGATTGTCAATTTTTTACCGTATTTCTAACCAGAAAAACTTCATCCCAGAATATCTCGATAACGCTCTTACAGATTTCGCTTAAACTTCACGAACATCGAGGCAACTATCGTAGGTAAAAGCTCCAGTAAACGATTTTGGAAGAACAGTTCCCAGTGCCGAGAAATACTGCTGCAAGTAAAATAGGTAATGGCGTCATTTCGTTGCTATGACAACTCCGATCTCATTGTAACCCTGATCATAACAAATTTTCATCTTTATCTAATACAACTGTGGTGTTAATTTTTCCAAATCTTTGTTTATGGCGTCGTAGTTTACGCTCAAACTTGGGAGGTATTGACCCTGACAAACTGTATCGAGCCACCTTAAGAGAGATGTATGACAGAAAGTAAATGGCTGAGAGACAACACAAACTTAATGTAATCACCTTGAAGTAGTTCTATCCATTAGGGTGAATATAGTTGCAAAGGTGGTGGTTGGCTTTAGCATGTTTGTAAACAAACTTTTGGAATTCTTCTTGTTCTGTTAAGACTTTAATCTTTAGATCCTGTAAACAGTGAACAGCAATGGTTATTACAGTGTGACCGGGAAAACCGTCAGCAGTCTTAAAATATCTCAGGAATTGTGTTATGACCAATCACAGTAAAGATCAGGACATGCAAACTAGCCAAAAACCACAAACTAATTAACTTTCCTGCTTGCGGTTCAGTTTTCTCACGCCTGATTCGCTTTTTTCTTGCAGCACAATAACATTCCAGAAATATTTCTGGTGTTCACAGTTTTCTTGGTTTAACTGAAAGATTTGAAACCTTAAGTAGCCAGAATGTTAAGTACATAATTAACCTAAATTATTATTCATTCAAAATATTTCCCCAATTCTGATTGGCTAAAAGCACACGCACAATTCACCATGACCAGTTACTGATGACCAAATTTGGAAGAATTTTGTGTTTAACGAGGAAATGACATCAAAAATGCAGCCTTCTACAGGTTAATGCACCGTTAACCGAGAAGACCTGGGATGAGGTTGAGTTGTTTTGGTTGTTAACTTGAAAAATGGCGGACATTTCACTCGTTTCAAGAGTAAGAACTAGCTGAAAAAATAGCTAAAAACATGGCAAGAACAGCAAGAAGACAACTCCAAGGGTGACATTTGCTATTTGGAGAATATTTGCGGAGCTGAGCAACCCTAAACGTGCACTATCGAAGATGAACTTAACATCGATGGATCAATGGAGATAAGCATGTTTAGCCATGTTTTTAAACTAGGAATTATTTTAAATGAATAATAAAACATTATCATTGAATTCGGCTTTCGTATCATATGAAGAATTATGGAGATCTCAGGGGGTGTTATCTGCCTCGGCCTACGGCCTCGACGGATAACACCCAACTCGATCTCCATAATTCTTCATAAGATACTCAGCGTCATTCATTAATAATTTGGTAAATATCACTCCGGGAGAGAGGAAGGACTCCAATATTAAAGAGACAGGGTCGCTTGTAGGAAAAATTGACCCCTAAAAGAGACCTTACTCCAACACAGTCAAGCAACAGCATTGTTTTTTACACCTGTAGATATTTCTTTACCCACAACCCTAGGTGATAATTTTATGGGTAAAAACATTGGCTTTTCTTCTTAAACACCACAAGTGGCACCAAATTCTGTAACTTCGACCCCTACATGAGATGACAAGCATCCCCATAATTTTCATATTGAAGTCCCCCCCATTCCCCTTTTCGGTAAAAGGACGAATCAGGATGAGGGAGAGGGGTGATGCAGGGTTCTGTCTAAAGTAGCCAGCTGCTGGTGAAAATTGCCATCTACTTGGTTACTATCGGCCGGCTACTCTGCTTGACATTTCTTTACGGATAGTCTAATTTCAAATAAAATATCCCTGGACTGGCCACTTACTTTGACAACTCAGCCATCTATTTCAAAACTTTCTGACAACCCTAGGTGATGGGTGCTCTTGGAATTGACTTATACTGCAATGTAGCTACATAACTTACAAGCACCCTGGAGTAGTTAGAGCTGTAAGTACTGTGAAACCCTATTACTCTGACCACCTTTTTGCCATTAAAGCCACGTCGTAATGATAAGATGCATGGTTGTATTCACAGGGTATTATAAAGAACAATGTTTTTACCATTGGGTCATTATGGTCATAATAACTACAGTCGATCCTCTTGGTATGGACACCTCTCTAATTCAGACAGTTTCCTATGTACCGACAAAATTCTCATACATTTCCTTTGAAAAAAACCTCTTTAATACTGACCCTCTCTAATAAGGACAATGGACACAAAATCTCGGCCCTTGGGAGCAAATTTGTACAAACTTAACCTCTTTATTACGGCCACTCTGAGAACAAGGTGTCGATAATTTGCAGTATGTACCATTTCCCGTCGGCGGTTACACAAACATTGACACTTTATCAGTCAGCGATACCAATACCAGAACATGTCAAAATGTGAACTATTGCTACACCTTAAGTGCTGGAATTGTACTTTTATAAATACGGTGCGTTATGTTCTTAGAATTTCATTTTGTTCCAAAATTCATATGTACAGCCTGTAACTGAGAAATACAATAACCTTAATCAATTTAGATTCAGAAATTAACAATACACTGAATTTTGGGCTTGATTTCAGTTACTGGGGGTACTACCACATATGTGCTATATAGGTATGTGCCGCTGTGAAGGGTATGGTTTTCAAGCAGTTTACTCTAGGATAGGGTATATAAATCAGAGCGTTTGGGTCTAGAATAGGGTATCATTTTTCAGGAAACTGATCAGTTGGTTGAAGACTTTATCTAGACTAGGGAAACAGCTACTCTAGGATAGGGGGGATTTGAGGAATTTACTCTAGTATAGGGTAGCAAAATTCAGCTGAACTAGCTCTGGTATAGGTTAAGGGTTCCAGGGTCCCAGCGGCACATCCCCACCCAGAAATTCCTAAAGTACCCCCGGGCTGAACACTCTAACCTGTCAGTGGGGTCATAAAAGTGACGTCATCGTAGTGACCTCTTTTATACGGACACCTCTCTAATACGGACACTTTGCTCTGTCCCTTCGGTGTCCGTATTAGAGAGGTTCGACTGTAGGTGGTTGTATAAACAGAGTGGTCATAATGCAGGGTTCCACTGTATTAGCAAAATTCAATAGCAATCATTGTTTATGCCTGAACAGTTTGCATCTCCTCCAAATCTACTTTGGCCAGCTCCCTGCACTGGATCATCTGAAGAGTTTCCATCAATAATTTCTGACTTTCAATGCTGACTTTAGAAACAAATGGGAACTCCATTTGAGGACCAACAGAAGCTGAAGCACTATTACTAGTTACCACTAGTAATATTGTTTAAAAATATGCATTTCTATTGCACTCCTCAATAAAAACTAAAATATTGTCAATGCTGGGTTACTGGGTACTTTCTGAAAATCGCAAAAATTAATTCCCAGCAAGACTGAACCAATCTGTCCTAATCGCAAAAATTAGTTCCCGAGAAACACAAAAAAACGCCGATCCGCAGAAATAAACTCCCGCGAAAATTTCGTGCCACACGATAATTGGTACATGATAAAGGTTGGGTGGAGGAACACGTTGGGTTAGGGTGTTGGGCGGAGGTTGGGCGGTGAAACGAGTGCTCTGCTCTTCAGTTAACGTGTGATGCGGAGGAGGACTGGCAGCGCTCTTTCCGCGCTTCCGGTGCGCTTGAAGGCCGGTGAAAGTTTCCTTTTTGCAAACCGGAAATCCTATTTCCTTTCTGTAACTTCAGGCTACAATGTTAAATAGATAAAACCTTTATCCGCCCTCGTATTGTACCAGGTTATAGGATTTTATTTACCGCTTAAATGAAAAGATGGGCAAAGATGAATGAAATAATCAGTTAAACAACGCACATCACCCACTACGCATGACATCAAAGATGGCTGTGATTTTCACCGGTCGCCTGAAGAGGGGTAGGAAAGGCTCCTTTTGTCAGTCAAAATGGTTTTAAGGTGGCTCGATACCTCCCAAGTTTAATCATAAACTACGTTGCCATTAACAAAAATTTGGAAAAAATTACCACCACAGCTGTATTAGATAAAGATGAAAATTTGTTATGATTAAGGTTACAACAACATTGATGGGAGTTGACTTCAAAGCAACGAAATGACACCATTACCTATTTCACTTGTAGACGTATCTCCCAGCACTGGGAACTGTTATTCCAGAATCGTTCACGGGAGCTTTGGCCTCCAATAGTTGCCTCGACGTTCTTGTAATTTGAGGGAAATCTATAAGAGCGTTATCGAGATATTTTGGGATGAAGTTTTTAAAACTGGACAATCTTGATGTTTGGCCGTTTTCTATAGAAAACGAAGCGCTTTTGAAAAGAAACTTCAACTCATAGTAATTTCAATCTTCTTAAAAACGTGTGTGAAAGATCATGGAGATAGCCGTCGCCGATTGCTAGAAAGAAGGATTTGATTAGTATGCATCGAGGTGCTCTTAATAGCGGTTTTGTAAACATTTTGGTCAAACGGTACTAATCTGGATAGTAAATCCTTTTAAAGGGAATTACCTTAAAAAGACTTTCCGTTATCAAAAGTTCATGCTGATCTCAAACTAATGTATTCGCGCTGCTTCAGTCTTTATCACGCTTATTCCACGTCGTCAATTTGTCAAATATTGACAAATTTTTCTGGAGATGAATTCTAAAAGACTGTATTAAGTTTCCGGAAAAGAAACAGAAAGTCATTTTCTTGTGTTCACGTCCTACAAGACGTGAAATAAGGCAATTTCACGTCGTAGTCGTACAGTGACGACAAGGAAATGTACAAAAAAGCGTGAAAGCAGAGTGGTTGTTTTGCTAATCTTAACCTAATTCGACCTAGTGCTTTTTTTCCGTTCTCGTCACAGACTTCAATTTGTAGAATACAATGGTTATGTTTCGCCTTTGATTTTTCTGCTCTACATCAACGATATAATCAACACGTCAACAATATTGCAACTGATATTATTTGCCGATGATACAAACGTTTTTGTGTCTCACAATGATAAAGACTGCCTGACTAATATACTGAACGCTGCGCTAAATAAGTTGTCATTATGGTTTAGAGATAACAGGCTTTCATTAAACTTGAAAAAAAACAAATTCATTGTATTTAAACCATGCCAAAAGCGTACAAATCAAACTATTCAACTTTTAATTAATAGCCTAAAAATTGATCAAGTAAAAGAAACAGTTTTCTTGGGAGTAATCATGGATGAAAATTTACATTGGGAATCTGAAATCTCACATGTCGCCAATAAAGTTTCTGAATGTACAGGAATTATTCGTAAATCCAGTTTCTATTTATCAACGAAAACCTTACGAACACTATATTTTTCTCTAGTCTATCCATACTTTTTTTTTACTGCAACTTAGTTTGGGCCTCCACTTACAGAACTAACCTTATTCGTCTTGAGATTTTACAGAAACGGGTGAACAAAACTATAGCTAAAACCACTTTCGATGCACATACTGATCCAATCTTTCAAAATCTTGGTATCTTAAAATTTCATGATATATACTTAATACAACTAGGCTTATCCATGTACCCCTATCAAAACCATACTCTACCCTTAAAATTTCATTGTAAATTTACCTTACAAAGTCAAATTCATTCGTATAATACAAGAAACTCGTGTAAATTTCGTCTGCCTTTCTGTCGTACTCGAACCAAACAATTTTCCGTTTTTTATCAAGAATCTAAATTTTACAACACCTTAAACACCAACATCATCAACGCTTCCTCACCTTTTTCCTTTAAAAGAGCGCTTAAGGCATTTATTTGTAATAATTATTAGTATACTCCAACAGACATCTTGCAAAAAAGCCTTTTAATATTCAACATTCTTTGTAAACTTCCGTAATATTGATTAGTTTAATTTTCCACCTGATATTATTTTGTATCCGTCGCCGTAATTTTTATGCCATCTTCGAAAAATTGTAATTGAGAAGGCCTAATTAACATAAGCTCCATAGTTTCCTTTAAGCCTCCTCGCCATTTCTTCCTACATTTTTTTTTGGCATTTCTTTGTAATTATTGTAATCGTGTGGCAAATAAATAAATACAAATACAAATACAAATACAAATACTAAAAACGGCTGTGTAGTAGACTATACCTTTGCCGGCAATTCGAGGTCTCACACGTTTTCTCACAATGGCTGAGGTCGCTGAGACGGCGCGCGAAGACGGCGCGGTCCATTGACTGTGTGGCAATTTTTTATGAAGAGGGCGAACTTGAGGCGAGCATTATCGCAGCAAGAGTAAGTTTAGATGTCGGGTTTCGAGAATTGAAAAACGCCTTATAAAGTTAAAAAAGAAAATCTGGTAAGTTTGCCTCTTACCGGCGCGGCGTGTGAGACAGTCGAGATAGTTGACCCCTGAGATACTGACGTACTAGACTATAGACTCATCCAAACTCGCACTAGACGTGCTTGGAAAGGGTTTTGGTTGGTTGGTTGGTTTGTTTGTTTGTTTGTTTTTTTTCGCGCTTTCAAGAGTTATTTTTATTGGAGTTAGTTAGCTGTTGGGTCGACCTACCAAAAGGTTCTTTTCAGTGAAAATTTGCCAAAAATTTGCCAACTACCAAAATATTAAAAAAAACCTGGACATCTGGTGCGTATCACGTGAGGATAACGTTAATTATGATCTCCTTATTTATACAAAGTATAGCTTCAGTGCCCTGTATAGTATCTTACAATACTTTTAAAATTTTCAAATAAAGTTTTTGGCAGAAAGAAAAAATAAGTTGCCCTTTCAGTCGTTCTAACACATAATATTATTGTATATGATATGTAGCTGACAAGCCATTCATCCTATGTATTGATTTAATAGCTTTTCACTCTTCTTGTTTTAAACGATAACCATAAAAATAGCTTTGTAAAAATAATTCATGCATTTTAAAGCAAGTCTTGTGACCTGTACTTAATTCAATGTTTCTTTTTGGCAATGTATTAGCGTGATTTGACTTAAGAAATTCAGAGGATGCAGGCATATGACAAGATAAACAGTTTAACCCACCTTTGTGTAACAACCTCAGAGATCGGTTAGTTGAGTTCTATATACAACACTACATCTGTATGTATAGAAGGGATATTGACATAGTCTATTTATAATTAAAGTGCGCCTCACGTGATTATGGCCTGACCTTATTTCGACTCATTATCAAGGACTATAAAAGGCTTGTCGATGAAATCCTTCAGCAGTGTGATTATGGACTCACAACCTTTCTAGATTTGAGTGGAATTCTTTCCTGAAAACTCTTAACAGATAAGATGCCTGCATCTGGAAAGGTAAATGTATCTCTAGCTTGTATAAACGTTGTTATATTCCTCCGAAATATTATATTTTTACTTTTTGACGGAGGCAATATGGTGCATAGTTCCCTATCATAGGAAAATTTGAATCAGATTTAACAGCCTTGGCAGAATAAGATCTTTTTTGGACGAAATAATATGTAGATGGATTTATGACTGTGCTTCACAGATGGTGAAAGATAAAATCATAAAACATAAAAGGTCGATGGTCATGATGCTTTTCCATTTTTATTTGTTTGGGGTAGTGGCGGAAGGGGCGGACTTTGTTTAAGAGTATACTTTCAAAGTTTAACGCTATTTTGTTTTAAGAGAAAAGACATGCAGAAGAAGACGATTAACAACAACAACAACAAAAACAGCAACGACAACAATACTAACCAATTTATAGACCCTAAGTTCCCTATTGTTGCCACATGGTGCCGACGCTCATGAAAGTATAAATTGTGCAAAAAACAGTGTACGAAGATCCAGCTTGTCATCAACTTTGGAACTTCCTCAAAGCTGAAACAACCGGTCAGATTTGGAACAACACTAAATTTTCAGTCCTGGTTATAAACGTAACATTTCTGGATATCGGTTTGCGTGCGTTGTGATTGGTTGAAGTCAAAATCAAAACAAAATAAACTTAGTAGAGAGATACTGGAAATGAGTAGAAGTTGAACAATTTTTTTGATGGCAGATCGGCCCCAACAACACTCAATAGTAAACACTGCACTGAAAGAAAGCATAAAACATAATTTAGTTATTTGAAACACTCAGTATACAAGTCTTGTCATTCATGCGTCTGAAAGAGTGAAGCGGATTCTTTCCAGTACAATTCACCATTTGAACGTCGTGATCTTCCAGCCTCGGAGGCAAAGAAAATGCTCAAACTGCGTCGCACTAGAGATCAAATCCTGTGTTTAAAGAAGCAAAAACCCCAGGAAATAATGCAGGAAATAGGTCAGCTTCATGA